GAGGAATGTCCCTTCTATTCCTATTTTGCTGAGAGTTTTGATCAGAAATGGGTGTTGGATTTTATCAAATGCCTTTTCTGCATCAATTGATATGATTACATTTAGTCTTTTGGACTAATTATTTCCTTGGATTTTTATTTTCTCCACTTTTCTTTATGTCAGATAGGAAGAGAGCAATAGTTGTATCTCAGATGGCCACTCGCAAGTGCTGCTCACTAAAAGTAGGCAGAACACTGCCTTGATGGGCTATGCCTTGATGGACTATGAACTATCAGTTGACCCAGATGTCCCCTGATACTATGGTTCTGAGAGGCTGTCTGTTCTTGCATGGAGCTGTGGAGTGCCTGTCTTTTGCTCCCCACCCCCAAATCCTTGCCTGGCACCCTGTGAACCACTGCATGGAATAAGCTGGCATCATCCCTTTCTTACCAGACTCAGAGTTGGTGGCAGCGACCGGCATGATGACTTCAGCAAGGGCTTTGAAATGTCTCTCCTGGAGGGGGAGAGAAGGGAGTGAGAAGGAGCAAAGCAAAAGGAAAGAACTAGGAAGGATGTCCCCACCAGGGCCCTGCCCCTCAGAGATTGCCAGCAAGGCATTTCATACAGCATCTTTCTACCCTCCACCCTCTAGGGAAGGAGAACATCTAGAGCCCCACACACACACACCGACCCTGCTGGTACTCTGTCAGATCCCTCCCCACGGCTCTCTAGGAACAGGGACAGAAGGGGTTGGCACCAGTGCGACCCAGATTGGGGTTAGAGAACAACAATCATCCAACAGTCCAGGAGGTAGAAAGGGCAAGTGTTACATATATGCCCCCTACCTACTCAGAGGAGAAAACTGAGGATCAGAGAAGTTAATGGATTTGCCCAAGGACATAAACCTGGTAAAGAGCTACAGTGAAACCCTAATCTTATGACTGTTTTTAAGTGTTTCTGCCTGTCCAGCTCTTTCTACTTTTTTTTTTTTTTTGGTTTCTTTGAAAGGGGAGACCAGAATTTGAGTCAGAAGCAGGAAAGACAGTGTTCCCAAACTGTAAGTTCCCTGAAAGTAACAATCACGTCTGTTTCATTCACCTCTGGATCCCAGCCAAGGCCAGTGTTGATGCCCCACTAACAGAAAGGGCATCCTGCCTCCTCAGGGCCTCTCTGGCTTCCTCTTCTCCCCTCTCCCCTTCTTAGTCCAGAGCTGGGACAGGGAGAGAGGGGCCAGAACCTGGCGTGGAGCTGACAACCCCAGTTCCCAGCCCAGAGCTCCCCCAAGCTGAGGCTGCTCTCCCATTTTCAGGGGGAAGGGTACCCCCCTTGCCTTCCTGGGCATGTGCTATGGATAAAATCCTAATTCTCAGTTGTCATGACAACAGGAGGCAGTGGCTCACAGCAGGGGTTGGGGAGTGGGGAGAGAAGAGAAACTCAGACACAGTTGGCAGTGCCCTCTTTAGGAATTAATGCCTGCTGAGCCCTAGGGATTGGAGGAAACTCAACTTCACCTCTCCCCACCACCACCACCAAAAAAAAGGGACCACCACTTATTTTCAAAAAAAACCCTCTCTGCTCCTATTCCTTTCCTGGGTCTGTGCTGGTCACCTGAGCTCAAGTGGCAATAATAACAAAGAAAGGCTGACTCCCTTTCCTCCTGGCTCTGCCCCTGAGGACATGAAAGAAAGAAGCTTTCAGGGACAGGAAGGGTACCCCTGTCAGGCTAGCACCCAGGTTTGGAGAAAGGCCCAGGATCCACTGTGCCAGCCAGTATCCCCGGTGCCAAGCCCTGCTGTCCCTGTTCCTAGAGAGCAGTGAGGAGGGAGCTGATAGAGGTGCTGGCAGGGTCGTGGGGTGGGGGAGAGCTCTAGACGCTCTCCTTCCTTAGGGGGTGGTGGATGGAAAGATACTGCATGAAATGCCTGCGCCCAGAAATACTGACCAGTCTGCCTGGGTTTTTTCCCAGGGGAATCGGTTCCCATGGCATCATCGCGCTCTGCCTCGCCCCCACCCAAGTCTCCGAGTGGGCGGGGCCAGGCTGTGCCCTCAGGAGAACGCAGTGCCAGGCAAGCCAGCCTGGCTTGGTGCCAGGCACACTGGAAGCCCGAACCTCAACTTCCAAAAGCCCGGGCCCAGGTGCCCTCTCAACCCTACTCCTAGACTATCCACCTCACCCAGAACGTCCGCCCCGAAGAAGAGCGAAGAGCAGAGCGAAGAGCAGGCCAGTCTAGAAGGAAAGGTTTCCTGCCATGTCCCACCCACCCCTTAGCATCAATATACATACCAAGAGGTGCTGGGAAGGAAGATCTGGCACAGGCGTTTTGGGGACTGACAGGCCGTGCGGAGGGCTTGACGACCTGAGGGACTGAGGACAGGGACCGGAAGGCGGGGTGGGCCTACACAGACCTACAATCAGCTCACCCCAGCCCCTAGAGCCCAGCAATAACACGGTCGGCGCTAGGACCTGGGGGAAGGGGGGGCGTGTTGCGAGCCATCAAAGAAGGCTCTTTGCGTGCACGACTGTGGAGACCAGGGGATGAGGTCACTGGATGGCTGCCCCCCAGCCCTCATTCCCCCCCACCTTTAGTTGACCCAACTTTCCGATCCTAGTACCTCGCTCTGGCACCAATCCTCTCCCAGATCCCCAGGCCCCCGAGCTCGACTCACCCCTACAGCCTGGGAGGCTGGAGAAGGAACGCACCCCTTTCCTGGAAGCCCCCTCCCAGATCAGGTTGAGGTGTTGGCCTCCCTCGGGACCGGGACGCCAAGCGGACCCGGCGGAACGTGTGCACTGCGCCCCCCTCCGGAAGCGCTAGCAGCGCGGTTCTTACGTAATGTTGGTCTCCGAAGTCCACCAAATCCGCACGGCCCTCAGAGAGGCGGCTCGGATACCCGGGCCCGCACCGCTCCCCACCTCTGTGCCTGGTGTCACTCTGGAGCCCCCGCTGCAGGGGCGGGGGCGGGGGCCAGGGTCAACGGTAGCGGGGTTTGGTCTCTCCCCTCCAGCTCCCTACAAAAAGGGCCTGAGATGGGGTTCGAGAGACAGGGGGCGGGCCTGGGGACGGGGCACGGGAAGGCTAAACCCAAAGAATCTAAGAGCGCTGCCAGGCCGAAAAAGAGTAGGGGCCCTGGAGTGGGGTGCTGACCTGGGGCCGGGGGAGCGCCTACCTGCGCCCGGGGGAGCCCCTAGTTCGGGGCGGCTCCGGCGCTGCGGGGTGCTCCTCGTTTATTCGCTTGTCAATAGCTAATCCGGTTCTTAAAGCGGCAAGTCCTCCTCTGCGCGAGGGGGCGGAGATGGCGAGGCTGGAGGAGAGGCGTAAGGATGCCTTGAGCAGTAGCGGGAGAGAGGCAGTTTTTCTGAGCAGCTGGTGACCGACGGGCAGGTAGTGGTTTGGGTGACACCACACAGCCTGCTCGCTTCTCCGTCGCGGAAGCACAGACCGGCACCGGTACCCACTAGTGTCCCTCGGAGCCCAGGGATCCCTTAAAAGGGCAATGGTGAAAGCGCCGAGTGGGGCCGGCTCGATTACTCCGCCCCTCCCCTGGGTTTAGACTCTCCGCCCATGTCTTGGCCTCCCTCAGTTTCCTCGTTATCTCTCTTACCAATTGGGAAAGAGAACAGGGGGACTTCAGAGGGACCCCCAGGGACAGAATACACCCCCATAGGGCCTCGGGCTCAGGGAAAAGTGTTTCAGGACACTTGGATCCGGGACTCTCAAGGCAAAAGAATTTACAAAAAAAGGAAAAGTCTTCGCGAAGGGATACGAGGTCCTATTTTAGACCTGGACAGGGGCCCTAATCCACGGTCCTGCCTAGGGAATACAGAATGAAGTAACTCGTTATCCTTCCTCAGATTCCCATTTTAAGAAGTAAATAAAGGGTTAAATCCACTTCTCTGGGTTTCGCCCCGCCTCCGACTGGAAGTCTCCGAACCTCCGAGGCTGGGGCGCTCGGGGCCAGCGGGTGGTACCTGTCTGGTCTCAAGCCCTCCTCCTCCCCCCCCCCCCCCCCCGCCGCCCACTGGAAAGTGCGAGGTTATCCCTCTTCCTTGCTAATTTGTGCCCTAAGATCAGAAATGGACTGCGTCCTGGAAACACTCTCGAAAACCTCGGAATGGGTTTAACCTGGTAATCCATCCTGGAAGCAGAGGGCTAATCCTCGAGGCTCAAAAAACTCAGCTGGTATAGGTTTAGGGATTGGGAGAGGGAAAAACAAGCAAGTCAGACCAAACTTTGCTGAAAACTCTCACCTTTAAGTGGCCTTTGCCTTTACTGAACCCGGGGAAGTTACCTAGCGCAGGCTTCCAGGTCTTGGACCAAAGAGGCTTCGGGGCGTAGCACAATGCTTCCAACCCTCTGCTTTCAAGCCAGAAGACTCTCCCAATCCAGGTCAAGAAAAGAAGTCCTCTTCCCATCACGAAAGCTACCTCCCCTCACACTGTCTACCTCTGGATAGAAAATCATTTAGCTATTTGCATTTGGTTGGAAAATGAAAAGATCTTGAATCGCTCCAAAATATCAATAATTTTCCCTCAATCTTGCAATTATCACCCCATAGCAACCCACAGCAAACCTTCCATTCCACTTGGGATCCCCCAGACAAGGTGGGACAGCAGATTCTAGTCCACTTGGGGAGGTGGAGCCCAACTTATGATCCTTACAGGCTGCTTCCCCCCATTAGTCAATCAACAAAAATCTTTCTGATGAGGACTTTGCAGAATAACAGCTCCTGAGATCTGTTCAAGGCTGTACAATTGAAGAATTGTCTGATTCTCACAACAGCCCTGTGAGGTTACAGAGTGGGGGAAAAACATTTCTTGAGCTCCAATACTGTTCAAAGGAGCCCTGATGTCTCAATGGTTAAGTGTTCGACTGCTAACCTTAAAGTGGTTTGTTTGAACCCACTAGGAACTCTGAGAGAGAATGATGTGGCATTTTGCTTCTGTAAAGGTTACAGTCTTGGGAATCCTATGGGACAGTTCTATTCTGTCCTATTGGTCAGAATTGACTTACAGAAATGGGTTGTTGATGTTGTTAGTTAGCTAGTTCTGTTCCAGACACTGTGCCAGCTTCAGTGACACCAAGACAGCTAGAGAAGGGCCCTGATATCTTGGAGCTCGCATTATGGGGTGGAGTGTTGGGGAGGGGTCACACAGACACAGAGAGCATTTTCTCTGTGGTAGAATAGATTGTCATAAGAGATGTGCAGTGAGTGTTCCCCAAAGGAATGGAGGTGCTACTAGTGAGGAATGGGGTAGCTGGGAAGGGAAGCAGCTTTGAGAGGGTCCACAAGGCATCCCATGGCTGTCAGGGGCTGGCCCCAGTTGGATGGGATTGACTCCTCCCTCTCTGCGTCTGTAAATCTCCATCTCCCTCCTGCTTCCGCCTCAGAAGTCACAAGGGTGCAGGCCGAGTCTCTGCCTCCCCTAAAATTAGAATTATTTTCTGGTGGAGGTTCAGCCAGGGCTCTGGGAGTCAGGGCACAGAGAGAAGTAAAATTCAAGAGTAGATGTTTTGGCTTCGCAGCAGATGCTGCCCTTTGAATGATGTTACACTTTAGGTAATGGCCAGCAGGGGCCGCCAACAGCTATTCCGAGTCTGTCTACGCCTATCCTCTCAGCCTGAGACTTGTTCTGAAAACCTTTTCTATTGGCTACTAAAAGAAATTTGTTGTTGTTGTTTGCCGTCGAGTCGGCCCCGACTCATAGCGACCCCTCCTTGGGTTTCCGAGGCAGTATCACTACGGAAGTAGGATTGCCCAACCTTCCTTCCGAGGAGTGGCTGGTGGGTTTGAACCGCCAGCCTTCTGGTGAGCTCTGGTAGTATAGTGGCTAAGGCACTTGACTGCTAACCAGAAGGCTGGCGGTTCAAACCCACCAGCCACTCCTCGGAAGGAAGGTTGGGCAATCCTACTTCCGTAGTGATACTGCCTCGGAAACCCAAGGAGGGGTCGCTATGAGTCAGGGCTGACTCGACGGCATATAACAACAACTAAAAGAAAAAGGAAAAATCAAACTGGTTGGCAGGTAGTGGATTCTGATGGTCACCTGATGTGTTACAAAGTAGAACTGAGCTCCACAAGGTTTTCTTAGCTGTAATCTTTACAGAAGTAGATCACCAGAACTTTCTTGCATGGCACCACTGGGTGGGTTTGAACCACCAACCGTTATAAGTCAGTTGAATGCAGATCATTTGAGCCATCCAGGGACTTTTCTAGTCCCTCTCAGTAAAGAAAAGTTTGGAGTCACAATAGAACCTACTGAAATAAAAAGGATAATAATAGAATGCCATGAAGAATGTTCTCCAACAAATTTGAAAACCCAGAAACACTTAGGTTCATCATAAAACTTCACCAAAAGAGTTAAAAGAGAACCTACAGATTGAGAAAAAATGTTTGGCAGTGACATATCAGACAAGAGACTAATATCTAAAAGGTATAGAAAATTTCACCACCTCAACATCAAAAAGACAAACAATCCAATTAAAAATGGCCAGAGGATGTGAACAGACACTTCACTAAAGAAGACATTCAGGTGGTTAACAAACACATGAAGAAATGCTCCCAATCATTAGTTACTAGAGAGATGCAAATCAAAACAACAATGAGATACCATCTCACCCCAGCATTATCAGCAGAGTTCAAAAAAAAAAAAAACAATGCTGGTGAGGGTGGGGAGAGACTGGAACCCTCATACACTGTTGGTGGGACTGTAAAATGGTACAGCCATTGTGGAAAATGGTACGGCACTTCCTTAAGAAATTGGAAATAGAAATGCCATATAATCCAGCAATCCCACTAAGTAAATATCCTAAGAAATAAGAGCTGTGACATGAACAGATATATGCACACCCATGTTAATCACAGCACTATTCACTATAGCAAAAAGATGGAAACAACCTCAGTGCATATCAACAGATGAATGGATAAACAGACTATGGTGCATACATACTGTAAAAGGTTAAGAAAAGGTTTGCATGGAGGAAGAATCAGTCTTTGAAAGTTACCAGGGGTAGGAGGAGAAGGAAGGGTAATCACTAACTAGAGGGTAAACAGTATTAACCTGAGTTACAACATACAATACCTGTGAGGTCAACACAAAATGATCAAGGCAGTGGAAGACACAGGGAGGAGCATAAGCATTTACGGCAACAAAGGTGAATACTGTTGCATACACAATCCCGCAATAATAGTACTAACAATAAGCTATGAGTGGGTATGTAAATAGACACTCAAGCTGAACAGAGACGGGAAAGTGAATGGGCCTACACCCGTGAATAGGTCTGACATATATTTTTAAGTGCTGCAATATACCTATGAATGTAGTAAAGCATACAGGGAGCAAAGTTATGAAAACTTTTTAGTCATATTCAAACACCTTGAGGGAATGAGTCACTGGGCATGGAGGGTCAAGATTATAGTCTGAGGGACACTAAAGTCAATTGGTATACTCCACAAAGACAGTGTTCTACATCCTACTTTGGTGAATAGAGACTCCAGGTCTTAAAAGCTTGTGAGCAGCCATCTAAGGTACAACTATTGGTCTCTCCGCACCTGGAACAAAGAAGTGAAGATCAAAGATGCAGGGAAACAATTACTCCAAAGAACTAATGGCCCATGTGAACTCTAGCCTCCAGCCTGAAACCAGAACTAAATGTTGCCAGCTACCACTGTTAACCATTCTGAAAGGGATCACAATAGGAGGTCCTGGATAGAGTGGGAGAAAAATGTGAAATAAAATTTAAAATCATAGAAAAGACCAGGCTTAGTAGGTGGATGAAGACTGGAGGATCCCCGAGATTATGGCCCTCAGACACCCTTAAAACAGGGAAATGAACTCAACTCCTGTGGCTCAACTTTCAGTCAAACAATAGACAAGCCTATAAAATGGACAGTGATACCAGGAGGGTATGCACTGATTAGAACAATCTACCGTATGAGATTAAGAAGGCAGCATTTGCCCAGAGCTAGGAAAATGGGAGGGGGTGGGAAGAAAGGACAAAGGGAAGAGGTGGGAGCCAGGAGGAAGTGGGAAGAGTGCTACTGCACTGTGGGGACTGCAGTAAATGTCACAAAACAGAATGTGTATGGATTGTTGAATGGCAAACCAGTTTGCTCTGTAATCACCCAAATCACAATTAAAATTTTTTTTTTTTTTTTAGTTTGGAGTCAATATATGTATATTTATTTATTAATTCTTATATCTGTGCTATTGAAGGTAGGTTAGAAATGTAGGTTAGAAATTATTAACGAAAAAAAATTAAAAGATTAGATTTAAAAAAAACTATAAATACAACCTACAATATTTTATGCCCTACCCCAAATAATCAGGAGCTCCGGTGGCCTAGTGCCTAAGGCATTTGACTGCTAACCAGAAGGCTGGCGGTTCAAACCCACCAGCCACTCCTCGGAAGGAAGATGGGGCAATCTACTTCCGTAGTGATACTGCCTCGGAAACCCAAGGAGGGGTCACTATGAGTTGGGTCCGACTCGATGGCAAACAACAACAACAACCCCAAATGATCACCTTGCACACCCCTAAGGACTGGGAGCTCTGGTGGTTAAGGTATTTGGCTGTTAATCAAAAGATCAGTGGTTCAAACCCACCAGCTGCTCCACAGAAGAAAGATGAGGCAGTCCGCTAAAGATTTACAGCCTTGGAAACACAAAGGGTCACTTTAAGTCCAAAACAACTCAATAGCAGTGAGAGAAGGACAGTGAACCCTCACCACTGTTCTAAAGAAAAAGTTGCAGTACCCAGAATCCCAGCCTTAAAGAGACATCCAGAAAGGGAGCTTTGCCTCCCTTTCAAGACTAAACCAAAGCCAGCCAAGAAGACCAAGTGCCTCAGCTCCCTGCTCTGCTCAAAACCTCAGAAAAAAGCCTGGAATGCCCTCCCACCACCATCACCACCCTGCCACACATCAGCATGTCCTGCACTGTGTGCAGGGGAGAGACCCAAAACCTCTCCCTCCAGCAGCTTCCTTCCCCCCGCCCCCACCCCACCCTGCCTCCCTGCTTTGCTCTACCACAATCCCATGGGGTGGGAAGTTCTAGAGCCAGACAATGCTGGTTGAATTCCTGGCCTGGTTGAATGCCTGTCCTTAGGTGGGTTACATAACCTCTCTGAGCCTCAATTCCTCATCTGTACAACAGAATTGACAACCTCCACCTTGGGGAGGGTTAAGGGCAAGGGCAGATGTAGAGTGGGGGCCACAGTGCCAGGCACACAGAAGATGCTCTGTAACTGAGCTGCTTTTCTGGGACCAAGTCTGGACAGGCACTACATAGGTGGGTGGTTAGCCCTTCTCTCTGGTTATCTGATGTTCCCACGACTGACCTCATGTCCTCCAGGGCTTCTGGAGTTCCAGATTTCTGGTACAGACAGCATGTCCCTTCCCACTGCCCACATGCCCTTTAATGGCACTTTGCCTGGTGCCATCTATGCCACCCACTTCTCCCACTTATGTGTCAAGGGTTTTAATGTGAGCACCACATGAGGGGGCCAGGAACAGGCAGCCCACCACCTGAGTGTGGCCGTGCCAGGTGGGCAAAGTGGGCCTCAGGGATAGAGCCAAAGGATGGAGAAGAGCTTGCAAAAGTCAGTGATGACCCGTGGTAGGGGGAAGGAAATCCTATTACTATTCC